GCAAAGACGAGATAAACTAGCTTTTTTTGCACACGTTCTCAGGTTCAGTCAATGCCTATGGAAAGAATAGGCTTTAGCTTGCTCCACCACCATGAAAACTAGTTTGCCTTGATCTGTCTCCAGTTAATTATGAATATCCTTTTTTCTGGATACAACAAGGACCAGGCCCTTCTTGCCGATGCATGAGAAGCCATTACAATCAGCCATCCAAAAGGTAGGATTGCCAGTTTTTCCCCATAAACATAAAGTTTTCCATCAGACAAAGGTACTTCTTTTATAAAACTAGGCTTTAAATAGATTCAAATACGCAAAACCAAAACTGAACGTTGGTCCAAACAGCAAAGGATGAATTTCTATATTGACCTCAAGAAACTGATCTCTGTCCTCTGCGACAGGATCATCACAGCTGGCAGTAGGGTGAACAGTCTTCAAAAATCAAGAGTGTTTTGTGCTCATAATCAGCTCTGAGACAGGCACAAAGGAGAAAAAAAGCAAGCATGCCAGTTCAAGCGAAGAAATACATCTCTCTCCATTGCAATAATGTTGTCTTATTTTGTACTCATACGAAGTATGCACCCTTTTAAAAACACCTAATATTAACACCTACAAATTAAACTGATAGTTGCTGATAAGTTACGTTAGGGCCTATACGATATGGTATCAAAAGAAAGTTTTCAGAACAGCTAAGCTGCTTATTTCACTTAGGCTTACACTGCAATTTCAACAGTAACCTTTTACAACCCCTGTGCGGTTGTCTAAACATTACTATCTTGTCTACAGAAAGGGTAATTCTGTATTACACAGAAAACTGTGAAAGCTTACAAGAATTTTTAAAGACTTAATTCCATCGCTCATGCTTGTATCACAAAAAAAAATGAGTCATATGTTAAGTGAGTCGAGGAGTATAGTTTAGAACGTCTACACAACTGAGGCATTACAAGCGTTTTCCCATATAATAAAACCAGCTATGATTTTAAAATACTGTCAGATGTTTTATACAACACTTTAAATTGATAAAGATGCTCAGAAAAGTTAACAAGATTCCTTCAACTCTTCCGCACCTAGTATGACAGTCGTTTTGTTATCCAAATGTGTTCTAAAATTTATATTCAAAAATATACCTGAAGTGACCTCATCTTAGCATCAAAACAAGAAGATTGATCCTCAACACCGGTCTCAGAATCCTGGTGTTTACAAAACCTCCCCACAGGCAATAAGGAAAAGAAATCAATGTGATCTTACTCATCACTCTGTTAGTAAAGAGGTCAGTTACCTCGGTGACCAAAGATCAAAAGCAATCTTTGTTCTCTCCATTCTCTTATTAATTTTTTTCCTCATCTTTCAATTCAGCCTTTTCTACATTTGCTTTATACTTTCAAGCCTTTTTTTTTTATTTTAACACAAGCCACTCACCTTTATGTAATACACAATAAAAAGAATTACTAAATATTTCATCACAGATGTTATAAATAAAAGGAGAACAATAATATCGAGTAAATTTATGAGAAAATCCTACTTTCAGATTAAATGTCAAATAAAGTGTTTGGAGCCTAGATAAATCACTGCACAACAACTGTTGGGGGATGAGATTAGTTGAAACAAAACTTCACATCCAAATTAAGCAATGTCTCAAGTGGGGAAAGAGAGTAATGCATTAAGAGCCTACGTTCAAAATAAGTGAACTAGGGACGTAAAAGGAGAGAAAAAGAACAGGCAGTTGCAGGTAGAAGATACTCATCTCCTCGTATTATACTTCGAAGTAAAATTTGTCATAGTTAACTTGAAAACTTAAAAACCTTGTCAGTTTCCAATTTTTCCCTACTACTCTTAACCCTCCTCCATTCTCATCGGGCTTGTTTACCCACATGTCACCTCACCGGCACCTGCCAATTCTTTACTCTTCTGAGTAGCGCCGTGCCAAACCAACCCATTTGCTCCCTCCCCCAGCTCCATTCTCATGGAGGCCAAGGACTGGCCACCTAACTTTTCAGCAACTCATCAGTACTCCTCCTTAGCATTCAGCCATGCCACCCCAAATTTTCCTATCCAAAAAGTCTATTTCCCATACCTTCGGATCTCCTCCTCTGTTTTGCTACTTCCTTCAAGCTCAGAAGCAAAATACCAAGCCAATCTTTACACCAGAAGCGGGGTCAGAGGCAGCAAGGAAAAGCTTCGCTAGAAGGAGCAGACAGTCACAAAGACCCTGTCTGTTAACAGGAAGGGCATTTCATTTTTCATATATATACACATATATTTTTTTCAATGTGATGTCCCCCTTCTGCTGCTTGTTGGGGATGTCAATTAAAGGCAAGAAACATCCTCTTCTTCCAAAGAGGATATCTGCTCCTTAATGGAGCGGCACTGAGGCAGCAGACATTACTAGTCTCAGCTATGTGCAATCAGGTTGCTGAGAACCGGTATCTCCAGGTGTCTAGCTATCCATGGTTAAACGGGTATCAAAATAACTTTGTGGCCTATAAAAAAAGCATGGAGCTGACAAACAAGAGCAACTAATAATAAAAGTGTCATACGTAGCATTAAATAGATACATAAAATTATCGTTATGTCATGCATATAAAGAATTCATACCCCGCCCTTTTATTGTGGTACATATACATTATGGGTAAGTTTAAAATAAGGAACTCTTAGGCTAAGGAAGACTAAACTTTCTGAAAAAACTTTAAAAGTATTTTAGGAGAATTGGAAAGAAAATTAGAACTTGTCAAGACAGAAAATTTGCTCCCAGTAAATGCTGTAGAAACCTATATAGAAGGAAATGTTTTTGCATAAATTGCAAAAGAAACCACTTTAGCAAAACATAAAAGCTGTATTTGTTCAATAGTAATTTGGTAGTATTTCAGGGAAAAAAAAAAAAAAACCCACAACCTCTGCTTGAAAACAAGCAACATTGAAACAAAACAAACTTCATTTGCTTTCTCATCTAATTCTCTTGCAGCCATTTTCTACTGATAGAATACTGGAAAAACATCTCCTGGATCACACAAATGCCTAAAATAGCTTGAAGCAAACTATGTGAATACTCTTCCCCCTTGTATCAAAACAGTGGAAGCCCCCGCTCATCAAAACCCCAAAGATAGATGCTTATGAAACTTCGTCTTTTGTGCTTGCCGCTCTCCATTTGTTCAGGAGTGAAAACCGTCCCGGTATGAATGGGATAGGAGGAAGGGACGTGCAGTCATGCTGCTCTTCCGTTAAAAAAGGAGGGAATAAAGTAGTATCTTCCTCAGCTCGCCAATAAATTATCCCTCGGGAATTTTTTTCATACATAGTATTTAATGACATAAGTTTTAATCGTAAGGCAAAGACCGCCCAAGCTGAGTCAACTCATCAATTACAAGATATCATAATCTAGGGAGACAGTGATGATGATGAGAATGGCATTTCTTAATTAGCTATATGCAACACAACTTTCCACAATCCATATGCACAGTAAAGACAAGATCCAGCAAGCAGAAACGCTTTGCTTTTAGGTGAACTGGCTCTGGCACGCAACGGATGAGAAGGGGTCAGTCAAGGCCCCCCGTAATGGAACCCGAACAATCTCTCCATAGCCTGGAACCTTAGCTACCTCCTGAAGTCATCTTTCCACTGTACAACAATAGTTTCCATAAAGCAAACAAACAAAAACTCAACCACAACTGGAAGTGGTGCTGTGCTACCACCTTCCTTTACGTCTCAAAGAAGTCAAAGCAAGCTACCAACGCCAAACAAGTTGTTTAAAGCCTCTGAGCTTAATTCCCTCAGACAGAAGGGATTCAAGCCTCCTCCTTCTTCTGCCTGCTGAGAGTGCTCACAACTCAAAAGGATATTAATAAACACACATATATGTATAAATAAAGGGTGTTATTGTCACTATTTTAAAACAATACCTACTACTGTGTTTTGAGAAGTACTTTGACCCTATGCTTGCAGGGGGAATGACTGAATCCTCAGTCATTTCAACATCCAGGTTTTGGTTCACGATTAAACTTGGGAGTGTGTCTGATGAATTTACTTCTGGGCCCATGCAGAAAACCACTTCTTTCAATACCCAGAGGCTTCACAGAGCAATGGCTATCGAATTTAGTTTTTTTAGCGTTCTTTTGCATTTAGTCTTACGTTTATAACTCAAGTCAAAATGGTCAGATATCGATCCCAGGCTTACAAAGAAAAACAAAACAAAACCCAACCTCCCCCCAGCCTAGGATCAGTACAAAAACTGAAACATCACTTTTGAAAGTCAGCTTTCTGTGAGTCGTTACCTTAGTTCTTTTGCTTATGGAGACTTTTATTGATTCAGGAGGGAAGGAAGATTTGGAAGGAAGACACTTTCTACGGTGGATTTTAAAAGTTTTTTCTTATATCCTTGCCATCTGACAATGTCTCATCTACTATGCTGAAATCCTTAAATTTATGGCTGCTTTGCTGGAAACCTGTCAATAGAGAAGTGTTACAGGGGAAAATATTACGGTACGAATGGTATGAAAGGTAGGTCTTCCATATTTGTACCTAGATTAGAGATGCGATCAAACTCCTTTTAGGACTTGACATCTGTCCTAAAAGGTGTCTGATTTTTGTAGTGAATATCCTCATCTCCATATTTATTATTTCTTTTCCCCTAGAATTCATTTGTATTTTTGCTTTTGTGAAGTTTATGAATCATTTTATTCTTTAACTCATGCAGCTAATTCTGAAAGCTGTGATGACCTGAACATGCACCCAAAGGTTCTGTGCTAAATTTAGTTTCATGATGAGCAAGTAAAATTCATGTGTTCTTTATTTGTCCATATAATACACCATTTTTTTTTTTTTTTAATTTTAAAGGTAGATAAAAGCATATTAAATGGCAGGTGTATGAGGTTCTTCAGAAACAATGTCAGAACAAAATATTGAATTACAAAACATTAAAAAATATGTAGGTACATTTGAACTTAACATTCCACTAAAGCATAAAGTTACAGATATAATCTAAAGAAAAATAATTGTGCCACTTACCTATTTTTGCTGTTTCTAGGAACTTTTTATTCTGTACATAGGACGATTCTGTACAAAATATGAAGTCTACATTTTTATTACTTATTACCATAAAACAAGGTACAATGTATGTACAATATTAAAATGAAGCCATACTAAAGCCACACTAGAAAGACACTTGTAATATTACTTTTGACATTCCTGATGTACAGGTGTAATTTTGGAAAACAAGGGGAAGGTGTCAAACACAGAACTTTATGAAGAACAACAGTCACCAAAATTCTGCTTTCATTTTTCTTTTTATTTTGGATGTATTCGTTCTAGAAGGGTTTAGTACACGACTGTAAGAAGTATATAAATGGTGGCAATAAACATACCAAACCATTAGTGGTGATAAATTTTGGAACACTGCCTAAGCAAATTTCTGTGGTCCAAAACCTCAAATATGAATTTGTGGAGAGCTTTAAGCCTCTAAAATACCAAAATATTTCCCTTTTTGGTGAATGTTTGTCTTCAATAAAGAACAGAAACAAAATCTAGACAGTGAAAGATGTTCTTATACGTTGAGCATCACAAAATCAACCAAACATTGATATACAGGTTTTCTCCTTGGTAAAGTAAGAATAATTCCTTCCAGCAACCTCTTGCACAAACATACTGAACACCCAAAATCAAAGGTATCTGATAATCTACCAGCTAAAGATGGAAGTTCAAACAATGGTATATCAAAATACATAGACATTGCTTTATACAATTAAAAAAGCACCCTTTTTCCCTCAAAAGGAGAAGGCATCTTTAAACTGTTTTAATATGGTTAATCATAATGGTGAAGAGTATTTTTCAAGTTTAACAGGAAATGTTTTCAGACACAGTGGACGTTCCACTTGAAGCTTGGGTTGGTTTTAAATTTAGTTGTTGTAAGCCAATATTTACCACCCACTATTTTCTTCCAATAGACAATGCAATAAATATTGGAAATTGTATGTTAAATGCAACCAACAAACAGCAGGCACTACATATGCACAAGGTTACTATGAATGTCTGCTTTGCGCAATATTTTTATGGATGCGGGAGACATTATACTTCCTTAAAAAATAAAACAAAACTATTTTTAAAGAAGCCACATTTTTATCTCTTTATGCATCAAGACATTAAACATTAAGTTCTATCAATGTTACTGCCAGAGACGAAGGAAACTAATCACCCATTTAGAATAGCAGAACACATTCCAAACAGCTCGTAAGCAGGATAAGTAAGTTAAAATACTGGCCACCCTGAGAGAAATCAAATATTGAAGACAAAGCACTATATTTTAAAAAGAGATTTTCCTCCCGTGCTTTTCCATCTACAACAAAAAGCTCTTTACATGCAAGTATTCTTGTGGAATATATAGCAGCATTTGAAGATCATCAGCAACTCAGATGCATTTTCAATTCACTTGTGAGGTGTTTTTGCAGCACATGTGCTCTTTACAACAACGGCAAAAAATATTTTCACGGTAAAATTAGGGTCACTATCTTCTCAGCTCTTAGACTTGTTTAAGAAGAGGCAGAATGGAACTCAAGGGTCTGTTGTTTTACTGATTTTACTTTACTATATAAGCTTATGGTGTTGTGTTTCCTGACAGGCCATGTTCATCTTTCAGATAAAAACTGATGCAACTTAAATGACACACAATATCTGCCATAGAACGCTGAACTCCTAGAGCCCGAGAAAAAATGCTGAGTATTAAAAGCTCAGATAAGGGAGAAAACAGTGAAAGAGTATTTTATCAACTTGAAAAAAACTTAAACTGAAATCTCATATTCAGACTATTCCCAGTCACGGTAAACAGGTTTTCATTTTAGGAAAAATTATTCTACCAGTTCATATCTGGAATACTGGTGTGTGCTGTATTATACACTGAAGACTGGAAAATATGGCTTTAAATATACGTAAAATATTAGGATATGGTATATATAGATATATATCTTTATCCTAAGTAGAGGAGAAATCAATTTACAGAACTCTTAGAAAGGAATCATGATCAAGGATTGTCATGAAAGTTACCAGTTTGTAAGCCACGTTTTATAATATGAAAGAATAATTGTGTATTTTCAAAACTGCTGGTATATTACAAGACAGCAATAATGTGGAAACAACTGTAAAATTGAGAAATCCTAGAAAAAGTTTTACACTTAAGTTTGAAATATTTTTGCTTTTGAAAACACACACTTATTAGTACCAACTATTGTTCACTCAAAGGATTTATTTAGATGGAAATAGTTTATAGAATGCTCTTCTCAAATATGACTATAAAAACTACATATGTTATCACTAGCTGGTACTATGATAACACCTCCAGGAAAATGTATTCATTTGACTATAGTCAACCCAATGTTCTGCATATGGAACTGGGTATTTTACCATTGTTTGAACTACTGATCTTGAGCTGTGTATTCCATTAAGTTATTGCCTACAGAACTGGGTTGAAGAAAGCTTTGACTGTGTGTAACTGATTGGTATGGCACAAAAAAAGTTAAGTTCTACTGTAGAACTGAGTCCAGAAAAAAAAAATTTCCTCCAAAATAACATTTCACTGTAAGAGTCTAATGCCCATCATGTGATATTAATTCATCAGCTCTGCAATGGGATTCCAAGGCTTTCATGGTATAGATATCCTGAGGCAGTTCTGACTTGCGTCGCACAAGAGGACGATCTTTTTTCTGATCTTTCTGTGCCTGGAATCAAAATGGAACACAGTTGGCTAAAAATGTTAATCGCTAAACAATTACTTAAAATATTTCTTGCACGTCAGTATATTCGCTTACTGGAAAAGGATTAAAACGCACACTGAAAAAAGTTTACACTTTCTCTTCTTTACCCCATCTACTATCCCGTTTCAAGTCTTCAAACTACTTGTTCTTGCTAAGTGAAGAGGAAAAATTAACAACAACAAATTCAAAACATTTAAGCTGGTACCAATCGTGACATCAATACCATCATCACTTGATTATAATCTTTCTTCAGCTAAAACAAAACTATTATCTATCTTCTCTCTTCAGTTTTTCCATTTTGCTACTTTCAGGAACAGGACCTGGAAATCCGGTTCCTCTCTCAACTTACTGCCCTAACTACTAGCATACAGTTATACTTTGCTTTCGTTCTAGAACGACAGTTAGAGGACTCTCCTTTGAGGTAGGAGGTACGAGTTTTAATTCCCTCAGGCCAGGATGGAAAGTGAACCAAGGTCTCATACATCTTGATTACATGCTTATGCCCTAGGGAACAGCAGAATAAGAGATGGACACTATCATCAACACAACTCTAACAGTAAGCAGTGCTCATTTCTTTCAAGAATGGACGTATGTGCTGTTCTCCACTAGAATGGGTGCTAGGCTCTAGACCCAGTGGAAAAAGGCCTCCCAGGCCCCCGTGAGCCTTGCTAAGCTATCCGAGGTCTGAAGAACGATAGAGCTTTTGGAAACTCTAGTACGCCCCATACTTCTTGCTGGCTAACTCTAGGCAGCTTCCCATTCAAGGGAATGCCGCTCTTCATCCATTGTCCTCAACAGGCAGGTAATCCAGCCACCAAGATTTACATGTACCGCACAAGGTTCTGCAATCCTCTCCAAAGGTAAGTGTTTATAAAACAGCCTTCACAAAACATATCCTGGAAGCATTCCAGCATTTTCTGACTTCAATCTAGTGGACCCAAAATGCCACAGTAGAACAAATTACAAACAAAATATAATCTTGCAGGATAATCACATGGGGATTTTGAGAGAGTAATGTAGGAAGTTAGGTTGCCCGTACGTTATTTTTATTAAAACCCTCATTTGATACCATGGTTAAAATTAACTGAATGCATTTCTGATCTCAACTAGTTTCTGAGCTCCAGATCAGTTCTCTGGTTTTAGATTTGCTGGATATAGAGATAGTCACATGACTGATATTCCTACCAGACATCTTAGTTGTACTGCAGTGCTCCTTGGCACCTCTCCATTTTCCATTCAGCTCCTAGTTTAAACAGTTCTCCCAACCTTTATTTTGTCTGCCAGGACTCTGGTTCCACTTAACTAAAGTGAAATAAAAAACACCTGACAATCACTAAGCATTAGCTAAAGATAAAAAGATTAGAACGACCTTGAGATTTTTGCCTTGTAGTAGGTAACAGAATATGACAGATTCTGGACTGAGGAAGATGGCCCGTTTGTGGGCAAGACTACTTTAATATTATGGTGGACACATCACACGCTTTTTCAAAACATACTGGCGTTAGACACTAAGAGGGCTCTGAACAACAGACAAAACCTCCCAGATGTCACCGTTAGAATTTGACTACATTTACACAAGTTTTCCCTAGCGTAAAATGAAAATAGAAAAGAGAATAGAACATGATACGATAGATTTTAGCCATTTTTTCAATTATCCTTAAAATAGAACCATTGTTTCCATCATCATATGAACAGCTATTTCTAGGTGAAAAGGAAATGAATGTTTCTGTAGAAGAAATCTCAAAAGAGACCCACATAGCATAAAACAGGCATTAAAAAGATTCCTGGCTACTACAGAATCACTTTAAAGTAGCAGCTCTAATGACTTCTATTACCGTAGGATACAACGGTGAAAGGGCTGAAAACAGAACCCCAGTTTATTTCTAGGATTAACAGTCACTTTAATTCATAATTTAGAGTCACTTGCCATATTTATAAATTTTTTAATTCAGTATGCAAAGAGTGGTTTACTATCTTCATACGGCTTTACCTGACAAGCCTCTTCTTTCACTGTCTTTTTCAGCGTCTGCAAATCTTCAATTAAAGGCCCATCTGTTTCCATTGCAACAGGACTGTTCAGCAAATTCGTGTCACTATACGTTGGGTACTAATAAAATGCAAAGTGTTAAAATAATCATTCTTAGTAGTAATACATAAATACTAAGAGTGATTTAGAGCATTTGAATGCCATGATTACTTATTTGAGATTAACTTCATTATCTTATGCTTCCAGGTACCCAGTAAGAAATTATCTACCAAGTGTAAATGAAAGATGGAGAAAAATTGAACTCCGAAACTTTCTTTTTGGCAGAAATGTCCTGTGGAAATATATAGTTACCCCCCCTATATAAAGAGAGAGAGAGAGAGAGAGAGAGAGAGAGAGAGAGAGTGTTACCAAAAAAAAAGGAAAAAGCTCTGATCATCTGATTTTGAATTTTAGACTATTCAGATTTTACCAGTATTCAATTTCAGCTTTGCCAAACACGTAATTCTAACCTTATTAATACATCGTATAATAATCTATGAACAGTGTAGCAACACAGACATATAATGATTTTACTTACTGAAACAATTTTGTATTTGAAGAGAAAAATACATTGTCAAAAGGCCAAATTAGATTAATATAGATTTAAAATAGTTTCATAAACAAAAACTATTCGTTTTTGAGAAATTAGAAGAGCCATGCAACTCTCTTGGGAATAAAAAAAAAAACCTGAATAAAGCACTTACATAGTATCTAAAACAGTGTACAGGACTCTCAGTATTTTAAATTCTATTTTAATTCAGAAGAGGTGTATGTGCTCTTGAAATCAACCAACAAAACTGATTTATGAACACACACCCCCCCCATCCATTTTTCCTCATAAATATCGTAGCATCTGAGTGCGACAGTAACTTAATGCAGATAAGATAAAAAGATAAAAAAGAAAATTGAGAGCAAGAATTTAACAAAGATAATTATCATGAGCTAAAATAGATCTTAAGATGTATTCGTGTGGCATGCAGAGTCAGAAATAGCTCTGAACAACACGAACTGTCAAAAAATCAAACAAATTAGATAAAGGTCAATAGAAACTCTGGAAAAAAAATTGTTAAAATCCATATGTAGAGAGTGTTAAAAGTATCTATATCCTTATGTCAATTCTTCATTCACTGGAGCACCTGGTGTTCAAATTAATCATTTTTATTTTAAATTGCTTGCAACTATCAACTGTCTTTCAAATATACTATGCAGAACAAACATTGTTTACAGGTTGTGCTAACCAGCTGCAGAAAATTTACAAAGTTAGATAAAATTGCTTGGGAAGAACAAAGGGTTTTACATTGTAGAACTGTAAATTTATGACTACAAGTCAATCCACTTATTTAGTCAGACACACAATAGTTTATCATTTCTGATAACAAATTACCATGTACATCAAGTACTCGTCAGTCAAAGCTTTCCTAAGACATATCTGATTAGAGAATGTTCTGTTACTGAAAGTCAATCACTGCTTTCATACAAATGGTTTTTTTTTAACCAAATTCAACTGACCTATTCTCAGCTGACTTATTGTCCAATTTTAACAACTGGATTTTATTTGAGCACTTTAGTAGTTGCTCCCTGAGAAACGTCACAAGAGGGAGGAAAAAAAATATTCATGAAATGCCCCCTTGTTAGAAAAAAGATGGCTGCATCCTTTACGATATCAGTGCCATTTTAAAACAGAAAGTGACTCACTCCTATTAATAAAGTACAGTCATTCAAAGTAACTGACACATTTGCATTTTTGCCTATAGCAGCAATCAGCATGACTGAGATCAAGAAAGAGGACCTTTCCGGGAAAGGAGAGAAAATTAGGAAGTTCCCCAAACAAAGTAAGCAAGAGGGCGGGGGGGTGGGGGGGTGGGGGGAAGGAAAACAAAAACACCCCACCACCCTAAACCATCCCTTCCCTCCCACAATACAAAATACCCTGAACAGTCTGAAATTTTGATAAACAAAAGTTTCTTTAAATACATCAGGTTACTTCAGGAACTGCCTGATAGGATGTTTCACTTTTAGTAAGAACCTGATGCGCAGGGTCCACACAAAACCAGTCCATTTCAAGTATGAGAACAAATGCAGCAGACGAGAAAGTGCAATATTATTTTAATCCATTTGACACAAAGGAAAACTGACCATTCATAACTCACAGTTTGCAAAAAGATCTCTTTTGTAATATACTATTTATAAAACCGCTTTTCAAGAGAAACCAGTTATGGCATCTCTATATTTTCCATAATTTTGAATAACTTTTCAAACCACAATACGGTATATCTTCTATTATAAAAAAGAAAAGGAAAAAGTACTTCACATCATACTTTCAGAAGCTTTTTTTTTTGTTTTAAATAATTACTTGCACAAGAGAAAGGTTACAAATTTTAAAAGTATTTTTATTGTAGATCTTTCATATACAATTAGTGAAATTGCTTTATTTCCAGGATCAGTCAGACCTGTTTCCCCTACTGATATTTAACAAAACTAAAACACTTAAACACTTAAACATGTTAATCTTTTCTAAATACCTGGGGATTTGATTTGGCTAGATTTTCTATTTTAACCCATGCTTCTTCTCGTTCCTTCAATTTTAGCTTCTCTCTGAAAAAAAGTTCAAAACCAAAAATGGCAAGAGAACCTTGGTGAATCTTGCATCACAACTTGTTTACTTGCTTAAACATAACAAAATTAACTACAAGAATTCAACAGAATAAAATATTTAGGTAACATCGCCTGCTTCAGCTAACTGCCCAGAGTATCACTTACCATTGACAAGACAGTTTGCATCACATCAACACCGTGTGATATCAAAGCAACATTGAAAGGGAAAAAATTTGTATTTGCTCACAAAAATAACACATAAACTGGACAATATCAGTTAATCTTTTTTATAATTGTACACTGTTAAAGGGTTATGATTAAAACAGAAAGAAGTCTTCATCTATACTGAAGTGTGTTTGGGTTTTAACTTTACACTCTAGAATTTTATATTGAAATGTAGGAAACTTAATATATGACTATATAATGTGGGCGGAGATTTTTAATGTCAGACCAATGGCTTCAGGTAACACTCCTAAGTAAAAGACCCAAAGACATTTTCGAACCGAATATTAATGGAGAAATAGCTGACAAAACCACAATCACTCAAGGGAATCACAGGGGGGGGTCCCAGGGTTGGTTTTTTTTTTTTTTTTTTTTTTTTTTAAAGTGGTGGGGGGAGGTCTGTTTCCTTATACTTGATGTAATTCAAAATGATAAAACTTTATCTATTTTTGTTTCTTTCTTTCTTATAGATGAACAACTTCTTGCAGAGACTAGAACAGGCACCCACCTTTGAAACTGGGTAGGGTTTAAAAGGGCTTTTAGCTTAAGAGGGTTAAAAAGCCTCTCAGGCTTCAATGGACAGAGCAGACGAGCCAAGTGTTCGAAAACCTTGTAGTTACATTAAAACATATACACAATTTGCCTCCAACTCCCCAGTAAGGTAAATTTGGGGTGGGCAAAGCTCTTACCCCCCCAACCTCTTGTGCGGTGTGTGGGGGTGTGGGTGGTGTTTTTGTTTTGTTTTCACTAACTCCTCTTGGCCCTCTGCCCCTATTCGGTCCCATTTAAAGACACCTCCCCCTCAAAAAGTCAAACAGAAGAGACAAGATTGCTATCTAATTGAAAAAGGGTTCTACTTGATTTTTTTACGTGTAAATTAGCTTTCTAAAAAAAACTTTAAAGTCTGCATCATATTACAATCTCATTTCTGCCTAAATTTTAAGATGCAGCTTCAAAACTTGGATAAATTAATCTACATCAAGATTTTGTATTGCTTCCAGTATATTGGTTCAAAATAGATATCACTAAATAGTATATGTATGGCATTGCAGTCTGCAGAGCCACTACTTGAAGAAATCACTGTTCACTTTGAAATTAAAATCCGGGTATGTTCAATACCCACTTCCTAACTATGCTCCCCAATTCCTAAAATGAGAGACGAATCCAGATCGCACGTTATGAGGGCTCTGTATTTATCAAATTAAGTCCATTTAACAAATTCAAAACAGAGGAACAGAAGTTATACGATTTCATGATCATAAAAGTCAGCTGAATTTTGGAGAATAAAATGGAAAAATTCCAGCTTCTAATTCCCTGCTGGGTTCACTAGCCTATGCTATATTGTTCAAATAAGAACTTTGGAAAAGTTGTTATCATTGCTTGGTCTGGCAAAAGAAAGCCTCGCTCTCACCATTGAAACTTGGCGCTATAGATAAGGATGAAGTTAAACAGAATGGAACATTTCACTTTGCAGAGGGGTTGCAAGAATATATCGGATTTATCAGGATTATTCTGACAAATAATGTACCAACGCCCTGTATTACAAACGGAGTGACTTTTTCACAGGTAATTTTTAGAAAAAAATGCACACGTGCACATGTACAATGCAACGCTGAGAAACACTAGAATAGTGTTTTGGGAAGAACTCCGTGAAAACATGAAGCATGCTAAACGAAACACAGGATGTAAAGTAAACTATTTAATAGACCTTTTACACTGATTTCAAGACTAGCAGTGTCCATCTCCAAAAATTAAATTTTAAGATGGCCACCTGCAACAGTATTAGGCCAGAGACTATACAAAACAACCTACTCTTACGCAGACTTTACAGTTCATATATGATGGCAAGTTTCAACAAGCGAATTTTGAGACGGTTGTACTATAATCAAATAGGCATAAATTCCCAGTAAAGACACAGTAGTTTTTCAGAGCTAAAGCACTCTGAATACATTATTCAAGGACAGACAGACACACTGACATGAAAACTTACTTCAGTTTTTCTGCTTTAAATTGCTGTGTGCAGTCATCGAACAGTTTTTGGTTCATCTCCATGAAGAGTTTCAGAGCATTGTATATCAAGCCATGTATTGTCCTATAAGTAAAACTTCTGGTTGAAACTCAGAGTACTTTAAACTTTGAAATCTATTTTTTCTGGTCAACAGTAGCCAATAGCCTACATAACTGGAAAATTACATCATTTCAGAATATGTGGAAACAAAACTAGATAATGGAAGTTTCAGTTTACTGAATAAGGGCTAATAGAATTATTAAAATTATTAACTTTGAACGCAGTTTAGTTACTGCATAGTGCTGCTCGTCACACTTTTGAAGTTTGAACTTCATTTTAAAAACTGTATGTATCAATATAGGACTAAATTGAAAATGAGAAGTTGACACTAATCAAACCTGAGTTAAAAAAATACAAGACAGCATAAAAGACCTAGGTGTAAGAAACTTACTGTCAACAGACAAATTCCAGGGGGAAAAAAAAAAACACTATTATGATTAAAAGGAGCCTAGAAAATATACCATTCATTTGGAGAAAAGTCACAGAGCAACAGCACTCACTTCAACACAATTATACTGTGACTCTTTAGAAAAGTATTACTACTTAAATGTAGAAAACAGACCAATTAAACAGAAGAAATCACCTGCCTTGTATAGCACTTATTTTTATAGAGTAATTTAAAATCCTAGTCTGTAATCTTTTGCAAATTACTGATCGCCAGATCCACAAAGCAATCAGTTAAATGCTTATTTTGTATCATGCATGTGAGTTACAAATAAGAGTGCAGCTGTACTGGGTACCATGACATCACTCATGCTCAGAGCAGAATGAATGGATGGCCCTGAAAGCCAGAAAAACAACCCAAAGCAATCCATATTTGCTACGTACAATCACATCACTGAATCCACATTTTACGAAAAAAATAAGCGCGTTGTTTGTTGCTGCTTACATCCAGTGACAGTAAATCGACCACTTTTAACATCACTGTACTTTTGATTTCTTTTGCTATGTTTAGTGGCAGATTCATTATGCATTCGTGGCCAAGCCATCATCGGTCCTCAATTCACAGCTAGCCCTAGACTGTGGGACTTCCACCACCCCAGCAGTAACACAATAGCTCAAACAAAGAAGTGCTTTACAATGAAACAGCTGTAGAAAGGATCTGACCAGGACTGTTTTCATGCCCAAGTACTACATTACTGTGCAGAAAGAAAGTGAAAAAACAAAGGAGACAGCTAACTGGAGAAAGGAGAGAAAATGGTAAATAAAAAGGAAAAAAGAAACGCATAAAGTGACCTGAACTACAATGTATCCCACTAGTACGCAGAAGAAATGCAAATTAGCGGAAGGTTTAGAAATCAGTAATCAAAATATGTTTCTAAAAGCATCTGAACTGCCGATAAATTAATGTCAAATTTGCTTCATATTAATAAAAATATTTCATTGATTAGATGCACTGAAACACTATTTTCAGTTTAAAGAAAAAAAAACTATTCTTTTCAATTCTTTCATATTTCCTGAGCGTTTTGACAACAGTAATCTCTCTCTCTCACCCACTAAATTTAATGTTATGGAAGAAACAGCTCAACACGCTGTTATAACTAGCGCTTCAAAAAACAAGACCTGAACCACATTTAAACCTTAAAGTGGAGATAACAGAATAAGTAGCAGAATTTTATTTGTACAAGTGTTTCTTACTTGTTCCAATGTGTCTTTGAATTCCGGTACAAGGATGGAAACATGATGGGTAAAATCTTTGCTGCATTATCACTAATTAAACTCATAATATACTCATTATTCCAGTAGTATAACGCTCGCTCTGCCACCTAAGACAACATTAAAAAAAAACAAAAAATAAACTTTTTCAAATAATCTCTTAAACAGCAAATAATTGAAACATAATAGAGAAAAAAATAAGGGAAAGGTGAGAAAAATTACAACTTAGATTTAGATTGTTTCAAGGTAAACTAGAAGCTACAGAGGGAGCTGAGGTTTGGGAAAAAAAGGAGAGGTGGGTTTCCTTTTTCCTTCATAGTAACACGATTCAAACTATAGCCAATGAACTCTCAATTCAAGCTGTTGAACGAACGTTTTGCCAGAGAAAGTGTATTTGTAGAACTTTATAATATAAGCAGCAAAATATATACATTACGTACTGAAAGGGTTGACAATGTCATTAGATCTTTACAGATCTGCTATAGTGGTTCTTTCCTATTGACAGACTGTGGAAAACTTTATTGAACAGGTACTTCTGAAAACAGCAAGATTTTCAGTCGAATGTTAGACATTGAGCTGAAGTGAATAACCCCATATGAACTCACATACTGCATTCCTGAAAGGAAAACACAAAGCTAACATTTGGATCCCCAAAATTTGACAACAACACTTGAGGACATTTTTCCATCACAAACAAAGTTCATTACAGTGAATGACAGTAGGTAGTATCAATAACAAGTCTCTTAATATAAAAATTCTGATATTATTGTACATTCAGTAAGTACAGACCTGAAAGTGCGGACTAGACACACATTTGGCTAGCTGTCTGAAGAGAGGCTCCATGACTTTTACAAATTCAGATGGTTCAATAACATCTAAAATTTCTTCTAGTTCATTTAGAAACATGACTTCTTTTGGACTGTGAGTCTTTGGCCAGTATTTTAGCAGTGCCATTACAACCTGTAGAAACAAAGTTTGCAGCAAAACAATGAAAATAATTTTCACAGTAATTTACCTTTGCCTTGCACTAAGTTAAATGTCATTAAAAAGTCTGACATTTTATTACACAAAATCAAAGAACACAAAACTAAAATTTCTTGTTCTATATGACAGATATGATAGGGTTCATTATCATGGAAATAACTGTTAATAGGGTTAAAAACATTACTGCAGAAAACAAAGTTATACACTTAAACTTGATTTTTTATTTTTATTTTTAAGAAACAAAAAGACTAGAGAAAGTAACCCTGAAATCTAGCTTAACACGATTATCAACTCAAAGTGCAAATATGTTACTATGCTATAAGGAAAATCATCTGCCATTGAAGTGACATCAGCTTTCAATCTCTTTTTTCTTGAAGGTGCACTCTTAAAGCTTGAAAAAATAGGCTTCCACCGTTACATTTTAAGAAAAGACTTACAGTACTTTGTAATGGAAGGATGATGCTTTTTTCAAACACGTCAGTTTTCAAACCAATTAAAATGTAAGATTAAGCTTTTTGTTACTATAAAAACCATTTTCCATCTGTGGAAATTTAGTGATAAACACTATCCCAGTAGCAAGACATTTGCTTTTAAAGGGTATTTAAAATACACTAAATAAATGTTTCAAAATGACTGGCACAGCACTCCACCTTAAATTTAGGTATTTTTGGTATGAAATTCATACGCCCCTGATTATACAGTTTTTATGTTTTGTAGTTCAAGACTCCAAAATCTGCAGTCCTCGGAGGCTCTGGACATTTACGTACTTACGTCAGCTAGCAGTTTCCAGCTAATGGCGTTTTGATAAACTAAACCAACACACAAAGTGATAGCAACTCAAACTGCAATTCACATCAATATATTTAATGATAAATGAATCTGTATCTCGACAAGACAGTCATTTTCCCCTTTTCCACTCTACATTTTGACTTACTTTCTAGGAGAATACAGAAAGTTTAATACTTCTAATATCTTTTTCTCTGAAATTTTCCTTTCACCTGAAAATTTTTTTCCTCTTATATTGACTTCTTTTCAATCACTAAAATCTACTTCTTTCAACAAATTCTTTAAAAACTCTGTACCTTCTATGATGCCTTTCATGTGCACGCTTAATACTAATTAGTGTCAGATATTTTAAAACGATATCCTGGAAGTAAGAAACTTGCAATGGAAGTGCCTCCATCTGCATGATGCCATACTGAGAACCACAGCATACATCATGTTTGAAATTAGAACGTTACTCTCAAGTGTACATACAGCGCTCCAAAACCACATAAAAACCAAAAATATGATAGTGTCTGCCTAGTCCTAGAGATAGAACCGGGGAAGGGGGGAAGTACACATTTCTTAAACCCTGAAAACAACATTTATATTGCAATTGTTGATGTAGTTTGAAGGTGCAACAATCCATTAGTCATTCTCAGCACATTTACCTTCTCATTTAGAAAAAAGCAGCAGTCTCTTTTTTGTCCTCTGAAACAAGAGGAAGTGATTAAAAGGGTTTTTTTTTGTTTGTTTGTTTTAAATAACTTAAATGATACTAAGTGTTGCTTATAGCTTTTAAGTGACAGCTCATTGAGAAATAAGTGTATCTTCATGTATCTTCTTGTATGTATCATTGGACTGTCAAACTGGACAACCTGTTCTCAGCAAAGCCTTGGGAAATTCATGCAATGTTGTAATCATTACGTAGTAACTTGGGATCAAGAAGAAAAATAGACCTGGATGCTTATTAGCTCAGAGTTGTACTAGGAAATATGTAATACCATAGCTGATGTCTGGAATACAGCTAAATTTTAAGATTTTATATAGCACGAGCGACAGAAACAATGTCTGGGATTTGAAACCTCAACAAACATTAAAACCTCCAAGTAGAAGAGTTCTTGCACAGCTGCACACTTGATTTGTTTCAAGGATCACAGTTTCTATTTTACAGTAGAAATAGCTGTAACGTAACAACGTCCACTTTTGTTAGTAGAAACTGTTTTACTAATCGCTAACTAGCGATGAAACGTATTAGTTCTTTCTTACCTAACAGTGGCTTAGCAATGCAAAACACTGTATACTATTGAGGACAATTGAAAGCATTTGTCTATGCAGCTATGCGCGGACAGACTAAAGCTTGTTTTTGTCTGTGGTCCAAGCTTGGTAGACAGGAACCAAGATCCTACTCCAAAGCCTTGTACTGGTATCTCGGTGTGCCAGAAAGAAAGATCAGCCTCTCAAAAGAGTGCACTTCAGGCACAGCTAATACCTGAGTCAAGTGCTTCTAGATCAACTGTTTTGTATCCAGTCAGCTAAAACAAAATAAGTAGAGTAAACTCTGGTCTATTTGTAAAAGGTATACTCTGAAGGTTTTTTAACTAATTCTGGACATTGTTGAAATAACTGCTGAAAAAACGGCATTTGATTCACCAAAATGATTCAATAATTAGTTTTTACTAATAAAACTAATTACATATGAATACTTTGTCCCCCAAACCTCCTTGCACAGTCTACAGATGAAAGGAACATTAATATTCCAAAATATATAAAAATAGCAAGATAAACTTACCGGTTCTGTAAGTGTGCTGTCCTTTTCTAAGAATTGAACTACACAGTACGCCAGCTAAAGTAAAAGAAAAAGGCTGTATTAACATTCACCATGAAACCACACGTTAAAATTACTAGCATAAGTGAAGAGCTCTACTGAATTCAAATAAACACAAAAGTCTTTAAAAATAATTTCTCTGAATTACTTAGCAGGCAATTTAAACAGCAAAAAAGTAACTAGCCTTTTCTGATACTTTCCCAACCTTCCCACATTTGTTTTCATCTTTTTCTGAGTTATCATATAGACAAACACATAACCTTTCAACTACTGAAAGACTTTAGTACTATTCTCTTGAGAAAGCAAGAGTTCACAGAAGAGGGAGAATGGCTTCAACGGAAATTACCTCTACTACAGTTTTTTCTTCTCCTGTTGTACAGCAGAATGAATATATTGTTATCAGAAAACAAGGAAATAAAAAGAGATAGGAAGAAGCATACTGATTGACCCAATATATATATTAGGATGCCTAAATAATGCCCAGTGTGCAAAAAAGACATCAAAATGGAGAAGAAGAAATGATGAACGAGCACTTACATCTGCAGATGATGCCCCAACAGCTGCCCTCCAATGGAGGTGTACACAAGTGTAATAATTAGCGCATGTAATGGAAGGTTTGCCTCAAGCGGCTGCCTAAAACACTAGCTGTATGCAGCTTCCTTCCTCTACGAAGAGCCAGTTTATTTCATATAGTGGTAATAGTATAACCAACAGAAAAACTAATCTCCTGGATACAGGAACACACATCATTTACTTGCTCTATCACACTTTTGCCCTGCTTGTTCTACGTAGCTTTTGACTTGTCATCTTTTAACTAAACAAATTTAATTTTAAGCTCTCATTTATAGAAAACTAATTGCTCACTCTAATACAAAGACAAACTTTAGAATTTCCCTGAACCAAACAGCCAGTTGGAGGTCAGCACTGAATCAGCTTCTGATGGCAAGGCAATAACCTCCACATCTGTAGGTGCCTCGTGTCCTTTGCTGATTAGGGAGGGGAATTTGCACATACTTTTGGTGATGAAAGCATTCTGTAAATCATTGCTCTAAATCTAAAACTTCATCTCTTTATCTTGAAGAAAAAAATCCTAATCCACAGGAATCTTAACATTTGGAAATAAAGAATGTGGAGATACTGTGCAAGAAATTGAGAGAACACAACTGGCTTCATTAAGCCCGTATGCAGAGTAGCAAAGGAAGATGTTTCGTCTCCCAGTGGGCCTCATCAAGGCCGCTGGTGAAAAGCCAGAAAGTCCCAACAGCTGACTTCAGTAAGAATGGGAAGAAAATCTGAAAATAGGAGTCTCTATTGAAGATGCCCATACCTAGAAGCTGCTCACTTTAAAGGTCTGAATGCCCAATCTCCCTCTACACAGGCTAATCTTAGGACTGAAGCAGGGTGAAAAAAGGTACGGCGGCAACTGAAAGACCACGCCTATTTGCTCATAGAGGCACTCTGCGAGCATACATACAGACTTCTAGGCCCAAGCAGGAGAAACGTACTAATTCAGGCTGCCCCTGTGCATGGATCTCCCATCTCAGACTGATGGTAGCCCGGGGATCTCGAATGTCATTGCTTAGGACAGATATATCAGATTTCTTTCCAATGGTTATTTCTCTACTTCCATCTCAATCTTCTCGTCTAGATTACACAAACCATTTCTCCCCATCTGTTTTTACTCCTAGATTACAGCTTCTAGGACTTTCTAGTTTTGTCCTCTCTGTTCTTGCTCTTATTTAGCCATCCTTTCTTAAAGTAAAGCACCTAATACTGGACAAAATATTCTATAGAGGGCTCACTAGAGTTACGTGCGGTAGGACAGTTATCTCCTATACCTCATATACCTTCTAGAACAACATTTGTCTTTTTTTGCAGTAGCACAGCACTGCTGACTAACTCTGGTTTTAATTTCACAATAACTGGCATTATTCCCCCTTCCACATTTGCAAATTTGACACTTTCTTTTTAGATAGAGTACTCTGCATTTCAGTACATTCCACCTTTTTAGTCTTGCCCCTATATAAAGTGCTTTCTACTTCCTAGCCTTTTGGTGTCAGGCACTGATTTATTAAATGCTTCCTATTTCATCAGCTAGGCTGGTCATAAAAACACTGAACAATCCTAAGTCCTAGGATTTGCCATATATTACAAAGTACTACTGATAACTATGCATATTATTTTTCAAGCAGATGCAAGTCTAGGCTGAAATATTGTATTTACCAACTTCAGTTTTGAGAATGACATTTTAAATCTGTGCCTAAACACTCAATTATCACACCACTTGTATCCTATATCCACATCTCATGAACTGTTTAACCATTTGTTCTAATGTCTCTCCCTTTACTGAAGCTCATTAGCCTAATTCCTTTCCTCTTTTTTACGACAGCTACCAAGAACATCTCTAGGTAACTTGAGGACTGTACAAAGACTACTACACCTAGTGTTCTCAGCTATTTTAAAGTCAATTTGAACTAAACAGGGAGAATAGCTTGCTTTATGTATATCTAGATTTAGCAGTCCAGTCCTTCTGAAAATCTGCCACTGCTGGGGTACGAATCTTCGTAGTTTTACTCTACTGTTTCAGCAGACCGTGATAATCTTGTAGTATACACAAAAGGGTAGTTCTGTCCTTTGCAATGGTAGAAAGCAATCCTTTAAGTCACAAGCAAGATATTCAGAAGTTACTGCAACACATAGAGAATTTATGGCAGCAGCAGTAACACTTTGGTGTTTAAATACTAGTATTGAAAGCCTCTTCTGGGTTCCAAAAGCTGAATACTACACGTATACCCATGCCACCACTATGACTGAATAAAGACTGCTGACATTTTATTCACTCTAGGCCCTGTCAAATCATTTAAATTGTACGCTTCGAAGCAATAGTCAGACAGATCTTTCTTCTAGAAAGAAAGCCACTAGCAGTGAAGACAAAGGATAAATTCACTTGAAGTGCCTTCCCATTTCATTCAGTAGGACATACCATAGTGAAGAACAGACTGAACTGCCAAGAAATAACTGTGATGCCTCAGTAACTGAACTGCACTAGACCCAGAAATCTGACACAAATAAATAGAACAACAAACACAACATCGTGGCTTTGCAACACGGCTGTCGCATCTGGATAGACTAGCATGGCTGCTGACACGGCTAGTCCGAGTTAAGCCTCTACAGGAAGAGAGGCACCCCCTATGTCACTGTCGTGTTTTTACCAAGTACTAATAACAGTGATAGGCATGAGGAAGAAATGGAAGTCACCTGAAGGTTTAGAAGAACTAGTCTGTGAAGTAGGAATAAGTAAAGATCCAGCTATCTCAGGCAGGTTACAAGAAAAGGTGACCGTCATGCCAGATGTCTGTAGTAAGAAGGATTGTAAAAAACGTCAGACTGGCCACTTCCCAAGAGGTTTTAGCACCTTGAATTGCCAGAGAATCATACTTATACAAATATTATTATTATTTTTTAAAATATTCTAAATTGTTAACAGTTTTATTTTAAGAAATGGTACTTAAAACTTGGAGTACTTAAACTGATGCAGAAAACGCTTTTCCAAATTATAAATAAAGCCATATAACAACTTTTTATGAAGATAATTTCAGCACATCATAATAATGTCTCTTCTCTAACCTTGCATGATTTTTCACTCTTCTAAGGATTTTGAATGGAACTAGAACTGAGCATGTAGAAGATGCAGCTTGTTTAAAAGCATAACACTACTTGGACAACTCCCTTTTCCCTGTGTACTTCTAAAAAGGCCCGCTGTATTAAACAATTATGTTCTATTTAGTGCCTACTTCCTTTAAAAACAACAAAACCTGTAAGATACTGAATTCAGCTCAAATTCTCCATGCAGTTTATAAAAACTCGTTCATTAAAAAACACATTTTCCTGAAATTTATGTATCTTTATACATTAACGGCAAGAATACAGATACAGAGAGATTAAATAATTTCCCCAAGGCCTCTTAGCAGACAAGTGTCAGAGACTGGAAGAGATTCCAAGCCAGGGTGACCAGACACTCCATCTGACCTTTGTCCGCAAGCTTACTTTTATAATAATATAAAACAAATGCCAATCAAACAACTTACCTGTGGATGGTAGACACTGAGTGATTTCACTTTGTGCAATGGTAACAAAACCTTCAATAGAAATATTTTGTGCTCTTCTTTTAATGGTAAGGCAAACCCATTAATTATGCTGGCAGGGAAAAAAAATTAAAAATAAAAATCAATAATTACTCAAAATACGCACTGCTGTACAGGATATGTTAAAACCCTTCTTTTCATCATATCTTTTTTGGGATTTCCTGGAGAACATGATTCAACTGAAAAATTTAGAAATTATGCATCAGAGACTACAGACATTAGCATTTTTTAAAATTATCTTTTTACCTCTTTCTTTAAAGAATTCTTCTTCCACGTAACTTATATGATTAGACTCTATTTCAGATCTTAACTTTCCTATTCACTATGAACAAAGCTCTGAATACATATTCCTCACAGCTTCTTCACCTAATTGAAGAATGAACGAGACACTGCACGCTGAACAGATCAGTCCAGGACAGCAGACAAACGAACACATACATACACTACTAAAACATCACTAGTTCTGCAAGACCTTAAATGCAGCCAAATGGCATCTCTCACACATAATTTCTTAGTTCTAGGTAGGTGAGTGCTGATGTTACTCAATACTGGTCTATGGCATCTTTATCTAGAAAGACAGTACTAGAACTCTGTTTTGTGTTCATCCACTTTGCTGGCACTAACTTCAGCAGGTACCTCCAGAATCCTATCGTCTATTTACTATTTTAAATCTTACGTTACTAAGTCTAATGTTTTTCTCTCCAGCTAACAAGCACAGAAGACACCTAGGGAAAGGGACACTGACAAATTTCTATCTTAAAAAACACTTTTAAAGAATTCAAAGTAACACATATTTGAGATATCAGAAATTAGAAGATGCTCCAGAAATAAAGCTTACTTCATGGCACTTGCTCACTCCTGCCATGCACGCTTTAAATAATGTTCACTAGTAAGCGATATAATTATTGTGGAAGGAAAAAAAAAAAGTTACTCCTAAAGCCTCAAACTTGATTTAGTGCACATTAACATTTCTATGATGCTCTGGCCTTGACTTCCTTGAAGAAAAAACTTCTTCACTGTGAGGGTGACTGAGCATTGGAACAGGTTGCCCGGAGAGGTAGTGGAGTCTCCTTCCCTGGAGATATTCAAAACCCATCTGGATGGGATCCTGGGAAATATGCTCTAGGTGACCCTGCTGGAGCAGGGAGGTTGGACTAGATGATCTCCAGAGGTCCCTTCCAACCTAAACGATTCTGTGATTCTGTGATTCCACGTACTTGACATTTTACGTATACATGTACGCATACATGTACCTGACATGTACATATACATTCATTTCACCTTAAAAAAAAAAAGTTTCTCTAAAATGCTTCGGTATTAACAAGCACAGAGAGGAGTAGAAGTGTAGGGA